ACTTTTTGGAATGGATCAAAAAACGAATTCAGCCATTTCAAAGAACAACTTTTTAGCTTTCAAACGCGACTTAAAAAATGTCGATATCTTTTTTTTCATAAAGTTATGCAATTTAAAAGAAAGTGAATTTTTATGAAAATTTTTTGAGAATGGTTTACATTTTCAAATGTATCTTTGTTTAAACAAGTAATGTAATAAATCTATCAACGCCATTGTATTTTTCAGAAAATTTCCAATTCAAAGAAAAAAAATTTGTTTTAATTGACAAATTACAGCCCGATATACAGTCAATCAAAGTCGCCGGGTTAGGCTAACCCATGTCCGTACGGAACGTAACTTTTTTATAGTCTGTACCCTGAGGGTTAAGACACAATTAGAAAAGGAAGCTCTCCAATCAGAATGCTCAGTCTATTGTATAGGTCTATGAAACAGATTATAGCTTTGTTCAGATTCTATTAATTTATGTTACTATTTACATATATTTAGTAGTTTATCCCTAAAGCTAAGACTATACACGATTCCCAATGTCGTGAATCGGGGATAATCTAACGCTAGTTTAGGGAAAATAAATTTTATTATGTGAATTTTATTAATGTTTTTTGTTGGTCTCCTTTAGGGTTTGAACGAGACAAAAATTCGAAAGGCGAAATATATTCTAGTTTTATATTTAATGCATGTATTTTAGATATTTATATTTTTCCATTTTAATAAAAATCATACAAAAATATTCAGATTCAATTTCTCATCTTTCTTTGTCGTATATACATTTTTTTATTAGGAAGATACAGTAACAGAATACCATGAATTAAGGGACTAATTAATGAGTTTCCATTACACTTGGCATGCTTAAAGATAGGATTAAGGACAAAAGAATCTACATATCGCCAGAAAGTTTTATTATCTTCAAAAAAAATGAATTACCTTATCACATTATATGGTGTTATCGATAGTTATCAATTATGGCTAACAACGCAATTTATACATTGCATTAAATGAGTGAGAATGCACATGATTGATAGTAATTCCATACTTCACTTCCTGTATGCTTTTTTACTTCTCATTAGCGGCCAGGCATTATTACCCATCTTCCATTATTATCCATCTTCTCTCGTCCCTCGGACGAGCAAACGACTTCACTGACAGTGAATGCTCCTGGGGATTATTAGTGGTTCCTGTTGAGTTCATCTCAATGTCCATCAGTTTGTCTTCATCCCGTTTGTAATCTATTAAAAAAATTATCTTATTATAGGGAACGTATATGAAACATCCCACTGAACTGTGGGCTTGATGAGCAATGAAACTAGCTTATCGTATATTTATATGAACGCCAGATAAAGTCGATGAAATCAGAGAAATTATTAACAATTAGTGAAGTAGCTGTATGTTACTTCACTCTCTTTGAATTGACTTTTCATGATTCTACTAACTTGCAAAATTGAATTTAAACGCAAAATGTGAAATAAAGAGTACACATATATCTTATACTTGATAAATATTTCGTAAAATGAGAGAGTGCATTTTTTGGAAGTATAACAAGAGACGTAATGCTTTTCGATGAAACAGTTAATAGGAGCGCTGTACAGGTCGACAATTTAAGAAAATTTTCTGCGACTTTCTTCCATCAACATCAAGATACGAGCTGTTCTGAAGACATAATAGCATGTCGTACAAACGTGGCGCTTAGTCTCATCGCGAGCGGAATTTTAGAATTTAGTCTGCGGAACGAGATTCGGCGGCGATAACGATATTAAGGCTGCGTTCCTTTTGATACTTTCAGCGCTGTAAGCATTATTCTATCTCCGTTGCACATTGAATATCAAATAGAGATGGAGCGACGCTTTCAGCGTTGAAAGCGTCAAAAGGAACACAGCCTAAAACAAACGATTCGCAAATTGCGGCGACAAAAGTTAGCAAGAAACCAGCATGCGTTCTTTTCAATTCACGCATCGCATTCGTTTATCCTTGAGCTCTAATTCCATCTCATGAAACACTGATAAACGCAGTTAATTTAACGCCCATGGAGACCCGTGATAGGCTTCGACGTTGCGAGTTGCGAGATGCAATATATCAATTTAATTTCATTCTATTAGAAAAATTACTACGACCAATTTGATATTTATGCATAGATTAATATAAATATAAAAAGAACACAGACTAATATAATTAATCTCGTATAATGCGCAATTTTTAATTCATTAAATTATATAAAAATATTATTTGTGTGACCATCGGATTTGTCTACAGTAATAAGAAATCTATTCCTTAAGGTGATCCTAAAGCCGTGATCCTAACCGGTTTTTTTCTTAGCACTAATCTTTTAATTGGCTTTATAGAAATGCAAAATTCCTGTCTAAAATTAAAGTACGCATTAAAATCTAGGTCATGGTGGTCGAATTTATATCGAAAACGAAAAAAAATTAATATTTTTTGTTATACGTGACGACAATATTTGCTTTGTACAAAAATTTCACAATAAATATCCACAAAATTAGACCGGCATGACCTAGGGACAACATGTAAGAACAATATCGTGCAATTGGAACTCAGAATAAAAGCTTACAAAAAAAGATTAATTGTAATGAATGCAATATAACCTATAACCATATCTATCCTTGTCTATCATCATTGTCTATACAAGGACAGATATAGAATTCGGTCGGTAATACAGACGGCTTTAGGATCCTCTTAAGGTGACTTAAAGCTGTCTGTAATACCTACACTCGTTTTTAACAATATTTGCTTCGTATAAAAATTCTACAACTTGATGTTACAAAATGAGGGTGCAGGTCCATTCAGTAGACATTAAGGAATATCATACTGTTTGTAGAATTAGGTTGAGACTCTAAACAAAAAAGTTAAACGAAAAGTACGATTACGTGAACGTAATGTACGTACATTATCGTACTTTTCGTTTAACTTTTTTGTTTAGAGTCTCAGCCTAATTCTACAAACAGTATGATATTCCTTGATGTCTACTGAATGGACCTGCACCCTCATTTTGTAACATCAAGTTGTAGAATTTTTATACGAAGCAAATATTGTTAAAAACGAGTGTAGGTATTACAGACAGCTTTAGCATCACTTTAAAGGGATCCTATAGTGGCAGTGCACTTTATGCACTAGTGCAGTTTAAACTGCACTTTAACTCCGTATTTTATTTATTATAAACTTTTAAGAGCCAAAATGGAAAATTCGGCTCTGTCGCAATGTGCGGCTGATCTTACTGATTAAAATGAGCATAAGTTTAATGAGATTCGTTAATTAATTTGGCTAGACTTTTAAAAAAACCATTTGTAGTTCGAACTTTTTAAAAGTTTAGCCAAATTAATTAACGAATCTCATTAAACTTATGCTCGTTTTAATCAGTAAGATCAGCCGCACATCGCGACAGAGCCGGATTTTCCATTTTGGCTCTTAAAAATTTATAATAAATAAAATACGGAGTTAAAGTGCAGTTTAAACTGCACTAGTGCATAAAGTGCACTGCCACTATAGGATTCCCTTAATCAAGTGAAAGAAAAGAAAGGAGTGAGAAATATCTAAGCGGAGGAAATAATGTAGATCCGTTTTAATTGATAGAGATCTAGGTGGACAGTCATTAGTTGCATCTTAACGAAAGATGTTTCACGAGTTATGTAGCAAAGATGGAATTAGAATCGATGCACTTCTGTCGCAATGCGCAACACGCTGAGAGATCATCAAGAAGAAAATGCGGCCGCTTTCCTTATACGCGCTTCGACGATTCTTTTCTTTTTTCATTTAACAGTTCTGCGTTTTGTTCGACCGGACATTCTCCATTCGCACTTATGGAACACTGATATAGGTGTGATATGAGTGGTAGAGGACCCCTTTCCCCCCTGAGAGATAGGCGCTCTTGGATTTGTCTCAACAGATAAAGTATAAAGGTTCGCACGCGTTGAACATACCTTTTCCTGGTTAAATTCAAAGCACGCCAGCTTTGAGCGCAAACGCAATTTGTGGCGCATTATCCACATATCGCAGGTTGCTTTATTCGCCGATCGCCGCATCTACGGGTAGCCACGCATAGCGAGAGTAATCGTCGTAATCGATTTCTTCAATAATCGCAGGTCGACAAGCCGCCCGCCACCACCAGGATAACGCGTTCATCGCACGTTCACAAACCGGCGTTTCAGTACAGGCCTAACTAAGTAAACTGCACCAACTGGAGATTGACTTGGCGTTTTGCATTGTCATCTTTATTATGTTTTTCCAATTTTCCAACGTGTCTCACAAAATATTCCACGTTTAGAGATACTATTAGACGGACTCTTACACTCTTATGAAGATCGTTGATACTTTGTAAAAGAGATAATAATTCTCGCGTATATCATCGTTTAGTCTATCCTCTAAAAATGAATCAAGATTACAATGCAGAACGTTGACGAATTAAGAATTAACATTAAATAACATAGTTGCACGCACGCTAATTATTACTAATTGGCTTGCTCTGCTCGCTCCTACGAGTGATACAAGTTGATGTATTAGATAGACAACTAATACTATCCGATGTCGATGTGCTGTAACTTGATGGTCTCTTCTATGAAGTAACTGATCAGCGTTACGTAATGTTAAAAAGTAAAGAGAGAGGTTATGCTTTAAAACTCATAATAAAAATAATATAAAGAGATGAGATAGAGAGGAATAAAGATAAAATAACTTGAGAATAAATTGCAAAATTTTTGCTTATGCGAATTGATACATTAAATAGATGCACTACTCGATGAAGTAACATTCTAATTGTATTGTAGCGAATAGAGAGCTTTCCAGCAAGCGACACAAATCGACACAAATGTCGTTTTGTCTTTGTTACTCATTGCCAAAAAAGAAAGATAGAACGACGTTTGTGTCGACTTGTGTCGCTTGCTGGAAAGCTCCTATATGTTGGCAATTGGTAAATAATTAAACTTCATTTTATTACGCACAAAAAGACTGCAAGAGAAGAAGCGATAAATTATATTACATTATTAGAGACTCTTTCGTAAAGATTGCTTTAGGGCATTCACATTTGCACTTTATTTGTTTTATATAAAGGTACATTGTGATAACTGCTATCTATTCTTTGCCTTATGAACATTTGGAAACATTATTCAAGTTCTTATGTGTAAAAAAAAGATTATACAGCGGTATTATTGTATTATAGTATAAGTCACCTTTGTAGAATTAACACTATGGGATACAACAAAATCATCTATACGCTATAACGTAGGCGTTAAGAAAATTAAGTTGAGGAAAATGCTAAACCCACGCTAGATAACATTGTGCTTTTTCAATTCATAGCAAAAGGGAGCACAGGGAAAAAAAATTGAACGTAAACTGCATGAATAATGTAATGCTGAAAATTCTCTTCAAATATACATAGTAAGGCTAACATAGCAAGTTTATAATAAATTGATTAATCGATCGATTTATAAACTGATCCATGGTGTATTAAAAAAAAACTGGGCTTAAATTCAATTAATTATTTATATATCATCTATTGATAATCTTATTGTTACCGTATTTTACGATACAATTAAACGATATTCTATTGTAAGTTTTATATAGTTTTCATTATAATATATATATTGTGGACTCAGTGACGGACGCAGAGGGCAATTCCTAGGTAATTGAGTCCGATAAGCGAATAATCGCTGCTAAAAGGCGGTGATCTTTTGTTTACGATTTGTTTTTGTTTTGTTTTTTTCGGTCGCCTTTCGCATGCGCTAGTGCGTTTAGTACACTTTTAGTACCTCGGTGGCATCGCGTCTGCCGGACCTGGGAAGCTAAAAGGTCAAAAAATGAAAAATCGCAGAATTAATTACGTGATCGCCTTGCTATGCAAGGAGCAAGAGGAAAGTATAAGATGTAACACTGGCGTGCGCGATCACGGGACGCGTTCAGATGCGGGATCGAAATTGTAATTCCGATTACGGTGGAATGGTGTTAAGGAAGCCTTGTGGATGTTTTTCTTTGTTCCACGTCGCAGCGCATATAACGCAGATTTTGTCGAAAGGTACAGCTACCAGATCTGGACATTCTATCGTCGTTATCCGTTATTGAATCTATTCATCTGTGAGTTACTAAATCTATTTTTTGGATGATGTCAAGAGAGATAAAGAGTCGTAGTTTCATTACTCACAGACTCAACACATTACAGCATATTATGTATAAAGATTTCAAAAACAATCTAATTTGTGTGAACGTGGAAAACATAACTATACATTCGTAAAACTTAATACCGTCGATGAGAGCAAAGCTCACGCCCAGTTCTGATTAACTGTCATACATGTAAGAAGCCGGTCGATAACGCCGCAATCGTGCATCGTCTCTCCGTGCACTGTCGCAAGTGCATTTGAAAACTGATTCGAACTCCGTGAAGAACAGAAGTCTCACGTTGTCGAAAGACCTTTGTCGGATGTTCACGGTTGGGCGCAGTAGCTACGACGCAACGCATTTTTTTTTCGTTTCTCAGAACGAAACGTTTCTCAAATTGGGAAAACGTCTTAGATCGCGTTTCAGAAAACTCTTAGAGGGGAAGAGCAAATATGAAGGATGTGTATTTGTAGCTTCGCAGGCTACAATTTTGCGATGCGCAGAGGCGCAGTGTATCGCGGTGGTCAGTTTGTGTTCGCGATGAATGTGCGGGAGGTGCGCGAGGTCGAAGACCCCGTCTCCTATGAGATGTGTCTCCAGAAACTTTCGCGGAACACCCTCTGCGCTGCGGAATTGTTCGCAGAAGCTAGCCACGTAATCGGAGATTTTTTTTCTCGTGTTTGCGGGAGAAGTTTCCGCCTTTCCGAGCGCATCTCGCCATTACGGAATTGCCGCAGGCTGATCGCATAGTGCATCTAGGATGGATATCGTGCTCGAGAAACTTCATCGCGGAGTACGTAAAAGAAGAGAGGTGATGTATCACTGTCATGATGACAAGTCCCCAAATCATTGTAAACCGTATGCTACATAATTATGTAACGATAAAAAGATTTAATCTGTAGAAGACTTCAAATTTATCCACAAAAATGTCAGTGTTTCTCAAATAATTTCTCCTTTTCTTTTGCATTTATTTCTTACGTACAAAAAATACGTAGGAATATCAAAGTCTTATTGTAATGGAAACGAATATAACTTGTAAGATATACGTCAAATACTCAATTTGGAAAATTTCGTGTATAAAACATAAGAATTATAAATATATATATAATGCAATTTCGTGCACAGAAAATAAAGAAATATCAAGTCAACACTTATATACTTGGTATATAACACATTTGGATATACGCAAGAATATATATAATCTTGAAATAAGATTATATTGCATTAAACGAAAGAAAACTTGCTTGAATGAAGTTACTTATATCGTTAAACAAAGTTTTTTATACAGTTCAATCAAGAAAAAAGTTTAAATAAAAAGTTAAAATTCTTATAAGATTATATATTCTTGCGTATATACAAATATATCAGTGTTGATTTGACATTTCTTTTTTTTCCTGTGTTATTAACTACGAGCGGTTGCGGTTGTTAGATCTGCGAGACTTTTAGCCATGGTGATATCAGCCTCTGTTCTCTTTTACACTCATAAGATTGAAACGTCGGCTCCCTACACGAGTACCAATGGAAGCAACGATTCGTATACGCAAAAACGCCCCTGTATATAGCCGAGTGTCACACCTTATACTTTTACACAAATATTCAACCTGCGTCGAATCCGCATATAGAAATTGCATGTTTTACATATAATCGAGGCAAGCACAAGGGAGGCGTATGTAGCGCTAAGGAAGAGTGAAGACGCCAGATTGACAAGCGTACGCAATATGGATTCTCTTCGCTTTTCAAACGTCAACATTTTACTTTTCATAGGTCGCAGTTTTGTCAGTGACAAGATTAGTGTACAAAATATATTAATAAAGTACAACTTACCGTCCGCCGCCACGTGGAGGACCATATGCATCTGGTCTGTCATATCCCTCGGCATAACTGCAACACAATGGACAAGATATCGTTAGTCGTATGGGGATAAAAGATTTTCCTTCTAGAGAAACGTAACAATTTGCAACTTACCCTCCAGCAACCGGTGGATATCCACCACTGGGCACAGCACTGCCAGGTCTTCTACTAAACATATCAGCTTGTGGTCCTGGACCAGTGCTGTAACTAGGTGCTCCTGTGCTATAGCTAGGTCCAGTGCTCATCGGCCTGTCAAATGGAGGTATATCATTACCAGGAGGACCATCCCTCTTTTCGTAGCCATAAGACATTGTAGCTCCCTGATTTACCCCCCCCCGGCCCCCCCCCCCGGCCCTCATATCCCCCCGCCCCCCCCGATAACCCCCGTTGTACACAATTTAACTCTGTTAACTTATTTTCATTCTATCCTGAGCGACAACGTTTTATATTTTTGCTTTATATTACTATATTATTAACATACAATTATTTCCTTTTATATGTTGTTACAAGGGCAGTGACATATATATATCATTTAATCATTTCAAAATATGAGTTTGAAAAAGCCTCTCAGGTTAGAATAAAAATCGCTCATGAGCTCTGCAAATTTCGTTAAACTGTTGGCAAATATCGATTATAAATGTATTTGTACCCATATTTTTAGTAAACTTAATGTACGGAATAATAAACTTAATAATTAAACTATATCGAAATCAGAAATCTAAATAAATTTTATCTTTTAATAATAGAACTTAAATTTACATTCTTAAAAATAGGAAAAGTTTAGTTGCGTACACTGAAAATTGCACCATCCAAATTTATACGCAATTATAATCGATTATAATTTAAAAAATTGGCTTGGAAACGTTTCAGTGCTGACATTCAAACTTTATACATGATAACAAATAATCTTAAAAAAAAAAAAAAAAAAAAGAGAGAGAGAGAGAGAGAGAGAGAGAAGAAACCACGCGCGTGTTGCAATAAAAGAAAGTAAAATAAAATTGTACAGTATAATGTAGATGATTGCCAACATTGCTGTTTTCAGCAATAGTGCTGTGCGATTAAATTCTTCAAAATTATTTTCAAAAATTAATATATAATTCTAGCGTAACATTTTAAATATGCATGCCAATATTAAAATAATCTACATTTCACTGCACATGAATTAGTTCTAAAATTAATTAAATCTACGTTTTATTAATAAAATATCGTGTAACAACATTCATTATAATATATGTAAAAAATGTTTTTCACAAAAAAACCACTATTATATTAACTATCACTATTATATATTATACTAGCTAGTTACCCGGAGCTTTGCACGGGCGTCTTTTTTTTTAAACTACTTTATTTGTGTTATTACATTTGTGTTCTAGCTAATCTTCTTATCCACCAATATATGATTCAAACACATATTTTCAATAACTTTCCACATCACCTATGAGGTACTATATATTATTATTATTAATGCGTTTCTTTAGTGGTATCCCCAGTATTTTAAATTCTTTAAAAGAGTCGTACTTAGTGACTTTTCCTGTTCAGATTTTTCTAATCAACCAAATCTTACAGAATTATATATGAAATAGAGGTAGAAAAGACTGAAGAATAGAATTATAAATAGCCCGATATCTCAAAATTGGCGGAAGTTAGAGCAACCACGGACATTTATCAAAAAATTCAAAAATTTATAAAGAAAGTACTTTTTTACCGATCCTCGCCAAATTCAATATCAACCTTATCAACCTTCCTTAAATGATACTCTATCCATCAAATAACTTATATATTTTTTAGGCAGAAATCGGTACCTCCTTCAACGATCCTCGCCAAATTCAAAACAATCTTCTTTTAATGATACTCTATATAAGATGACATGTATAACTTATATACTTTTTAGACAAAAACTGGCAACCCTTTCACCGATTCTCGCCAAATTCAATACCAACCTACCTTTAATAATACACTTTCCATAAAAAAAAATTTAGCTCATTATCTCAAAATTTGCAGAAATTAGAGCAATCACGTAGATTTTTTTAGACAGAAATCTGTAACCCTTTTATTATTAGCAATTTTTTGAATTCTATTATATTACTCAGTTTTTTCTACCCTTATTTCATATATAATACTTTAAGATTTGGTTAATTTGTTTTTAAGTTAATAACGTTCAAACATACACCATCCGTAAGAATTTTATATATTAGTATAGATTAAATTTTCAAAATTATATATCAAGGATATAATTGAATGTCGTATATGAATTTTACAATTGAAAGCTAATGTTGTTCAAATTGCCCTTTCAAACCAAAGTGGTATAAGCGTATGTAACTCAAGTATTTCTGAAATATAAGTAAAAGAATGGCCTTCAGAATGGCTTGTACCTAGCATTCACTGCTTTTACGGACCTACTTTGGTTTGAGAGATAACTCAGTGGAAAATTCAAAATGTGTACAATAGAATCAAAAATTGCGATTTCATAGGTTTGATAAAAGAGCAAAATTATAGCCGTTACGTTACCAGTGGCTCTCATCATATCCCACATCAGTGTACCCAGTTCCATATCCAGTTGTAGCAACGGCGCCACCACCGTTTCTCATTGGTCCAGTCGCACTTCGATCATAATCGTTTCTCGCTGTATAATCAACCGTGCGACTGGCACCAAAATTATCAGTACGACCGTAATCAACTGGGCCAGGTGCGCCACGATTGAAATCACCGGCCATGCCGCCGCCAACTACTGTAAACAACTTAAGTATTAAGATGCTGGATTACATCAGCCTCTCGTGTTTGTTTCACTTAGAAAGTTTGTGCATCCCTTTTATCTCGCAGAGGTCTTATCATCAAGAACTGAAAGATCAATGAACGGCTAAATACGCGTGTTAAACGAGAAATATTGACTGAAGAACTAACCAGATGGGAAAACATAAAAGTACAACTGAATATTTTAACTCGTATCTAATTCTTTAAAGTGATGTAAGCGCAGGTTCAGACGAACTAAAAGCGATCTTTTATCATCGAAACTAAGATCATACCCGTTTATTATTTGTAAATGTCACGCGTAATGAGTTAAGGAAATGCTGTTCTTTTTCAGTTTACGTGACTACTCCACATCTATCGACACGCAGATGGTGGGTCTACAAGTGCGGTTGCAGAGGGACATAATCACATACTTTTAAAGCTGCACAAACACCACTCACCATTATAATTACCATAGTCTGTTCTAGCGCCGAAGTCAGCGCGGCCATAGTCAGCCGTTCGTCCGTAGTCCGCCGCACCGGTTGGCCCGTATCCTCCCACGGCACCGGCAGCCGGTCCGTATCCACCGCCCATCCCTGGCGCCGTCGAGGTGTAACCCATCGTCGCGCCACCCACGTTCTGACCATAAGCCCCACGATCGGCGTAGCCCGCACCGAAGTCCGCCCCACGGCCGCTAAAGTCGCCAGCCCCGCGATTGTAATCGGTGTACCCGGTTGCGACGCCACCTGCAGCAGATCCATCGTAACCAACGAGTTGGATCGGAAGAACTGCAAAGCACGCCGAGATATGAAATTGATTTTTTAGTGTACACTGTCAGAAGTTTACGTCATTATTTCATTCCAACATACTATTTTCTCAAATGGCTACGTTGTATCGTTGCGCAGAGGTTGCTAGATGGTTTTAATTAGACGAATCCCCTACTTTCTACGCTCATCGGTGCGGGATAGGAGAGATGAAAAAAATATATGAAATACCAACGAAAAAGAAAATATTATAGTAACGCTATCATGAACGTAACATAAACGCATGTACGAGGCGATGCAGATACTTGAGGAAAATTAAATGAGAAAATAGTCTTGTCGGAATTTACAATACTGAGGTATAAATTATACCAACCTCTTCTATCATTGTATGGTCCAGGACGAGCGTCTCTACCACCGTCTCGTCCCCCCCTACCACCTCTCATTGGTCCACCTCTTCGGTCATCTCGGCGTCCTCCTCCGCCTCCGCGTGACTTTCCAGTTGACTGTTCCACGTTGATCGTCGCTCCCTTAAAGTTGGAATTGTGGAGTGCCTTGATCGCCGCTGCCGCGTCTTCCTCCCGTGCCATGTGGACGAAACCATATCGATTCATCACGTCGCACTCAGTCACCTCACCGAAGCGCAAGAACAATTGCCGCAACTCATCGTTGCGACAATTTTCTGGCAACCGGCCGACAAATATTTTCGTTTTCCTCTGCGAAACACGAAAAAATAATGCGCGATGCGCATTACTATCACGCCCAGCATCAATCGTCAAGAATCTTAAACGCTAATAAATTGTTATAAGTAAAACAAGATTATGAGATAAAAAGACTGCGATTTAAAATATGAGACTTGTGTATCTCAGAAGCCGATCATACGTCTTTCATAGAAAGTATGGTGTCTGTTCGAGATTTGTTATCGCTCAGTCGTTAAAACGCAATTTTACAGAATGTACAAAGCTACAATAATGTAAAATACACTGAGCATATCATTAATACGTACGGTCAGTAAACCAGTTAAATTGTTACATAGCAAAATAAGGATTTGAATTCTAATCTTTTACTCCTCAACGAGATATTTATTTAATATCTTTTGTCGTGTACAGAGAGAAAGTAATCAGTCAACTACAAAAAATATATAATTATTTATATGATCTTACCGGCTGATTAGATGACACCATCTGAAACAATTGTTCACCAGGTTAATGTACAAATACATATTATAATTAATACAAATACATATTATGGTTAACACAAGTACATAAAATAATTTTCATTTCTATAATTTCTTTTACACCAAGTAATTCTCTCACGAATGCAATTATAATTTGTCACGAGTAATAAAAGAATTACACGAATTAATAATTTTAACATAAAAAGAATGACCCCAAAAACACACGTTTTTAGCAGCTTAGCAGCTTATTTTGGTGGTTCTTGAAATTCGAATCAAATTGTATGCCAAACAATGCTATATGATGGGACATTAATCTCAAAAAAATTTAAAGTTGAGCATAGGGCTAGTTTTGGAGATACGGGGAGTCAAAGTGACCAAATTCCCAATATTGTTCAAGTACAATAGACACAAAAAGGAAATTAAAACTTCTTTGATAATAGTGGTATTTTAAATAAAATTAGTCCGAATTAGTTCTCTGATTACCGTACTAAAAATCTATCCCTTCTACCCCTATTGCTTAATTTTTTAAAGAGATAAAACTCCAAAAGAAGTTTTTGCTGAATTTCTGGAAAACGGATAGAGATACGAAAAAATGTTTTGAATGGAAGTTATTTGTCTAAAAATTCTCACAAAAAAGTTCTTTTATTTTTTTTTCGTAGGACTCACTCTTTGGCCGGAAACCGCCTGAAGAAAGATAATATAATTTTTGAAAATAAAACCCCTTGTTTGTGTGCACAATGCCAGGCAACAGGCAATGGGAATAGAAATCAGACATCATGTATAAATGCAGAATAAACAGTGACACAGGCAATAGACACAGAGTTTTCGTCATGTTCGAAATTCTGTGCCTATTGCCTGTTGCCAACCAATCATAGCATTCGAATTTTTTAGGTTGTAATTAACTATTTTTTGGTTATTTCCTGTGCCTATTGCCTGTTGCCTGGCATTGTGTAAGGGGCTAAGGAACTATCATCATCATAAAAAATAAGTGTCAATATTTTAAGATATAACTAGAAAGATTTTACTTAAATATTGCGAACTGTGATATTTATACCACATGTATTTAAGATGTTTAAAGTCTTTTATGCCCGATCTACAATAGCTGTAGTAAGCTGTAGTAAGCCTCAAGCCGTAAGAAATTGACCAATTACAGGCAAATGTGAGGAGAATAATCGACTGTGATTGGTCAATTTCTTACATCTTGAGGCTTACTACAGCTTACTACAGCTATTGTAGATCGGGCATTATAAGGAGCTAGAAATTGACAGTTAGAAATTGTTAATGTACAATTATATCTAAAAATATAGATACTTATTTTTGTGATGATAGTTCCTTAAGAAGATTCTCTTTATTTTCAAAAATTATCTTTTTTCAGGAGCGATTTTCGGTCAAAGGGTGATGGCCCTCGCACACTGGACGCGATGAGCGATATCCAATGAGAGTTCTGGTTTTCCAATGACATCCGGAAAAAGCAGAGCTCTCATTGGCTATCGCTCATCGCTCATCGCGTCCAGTGTGCCATGAGTCCTATGGGGACAAAAAAGAGAGAAAGAAAGAAAGAAAGAAAAAGAGAGAGAGAGAGAGAGAGAGAGAGAGAGAGGAGGGAGAGGGAGAGGAGAGAGAGGGAGAGGAGGGGGAGGGAGAAAGAAAGAGGGAGAAGAGAGAGGAGAGAGAGAAAACTTTTTTGTGCAGAATTCCTAGACAACCAACTTCCATTCGAAATACTTTTTCCGATTACATATCTCTATCCGTTTTCCAGAAATTCAGCAAAAACTTCTTTTGGGGACAGTTTTACCTCTTTAAAATGTGTGTTTTTGGGGTCACTCTTTGTATTCTGCTTTATTTTTTTCTATTTATTTACATATAAATAGACTAAATATGACTATAATAAAAAAAATTTCTTAACTTTAGTTCAAAAAATATAGATTATACATAATAATAAAAAATGCATATTAAAGATAACAAACTGAATTATTTTCTAAGAGTTTTTTGCATCTGCATTCTCCTCACATTTATTGACGTACTTTTACAGTATGTTTCAGCAAACTTTTAACAAATACTGTAAAAGTACGCTAAGATTATTAAAATTCTATTCCAAGTATCTTCATAACTTTCATTAATTTTACTGATGCGACCCACTAATTTGCAATTAAATTAAATTATAATTTATACCTTTTATGAAGAATCGTATTCTACGTAACTTTTGAAAGTTTGAAGACTATTAATAAAAAATTGCCCTTGCGCTGAGACAGAACTAGACGAATATACGAACATCGTGATGCTCCCTGCGTTCGCCGCAGTGGAGCTTTCATAGTGTCAGCTAAACGTTTGAACCCCGCAGACTGGCTGATTGTGTTTCTCTTAAATTTTATATAGTAGACTATTATTTAAAAAAAAAGTTCAGCTTTGCGGATATAGGTTGTACATGAAGAATAGTCCTTGAAATAGTATTGCGCGTATGGTGCGTGCGACTCGCCGCGCTTGCCGCGCTGCATCTTTGAACGCGTTAGTTAGACGTTTGAACACTCTTGACGACTGGCCGACTGCGTTTTTCTTACATTTTATGCATTAAACTATCATGTAAAATAAATTTCAGCTTTACTGATATAAGTCAACTGATTAAATTTTTTTAATATGTTTACATGCGTAGCTGACGCATACCGCACACGACACGAGATAAGGTAACTGACTGCATTTTTCTTACGTTTTATGCAGTAAATTAATATTTCAAAAAGTTTCAGCTTTGCTGATATAAGTCAAGTATACCATTATTTTTTACATATTTCAGACTTTATTGTCGGGTCCTGTACACGTGGTGCGACAGCTGACGGCCATTTTGCTATATTTTAGCACAAATACTATAAAAGAAAAGATAAAACCTGCCATGCTGAAATTGGACAGAAATTAGTGTCGCTGCCTCCCGGACTATAGTTGAAAAGTGTTATTTCTACGTTGCGCTTGTCAAAAGAAAGTTGGCAAGCTTTTAACTTTTTTGACGACAAGTACCTGGCAATCGGCAATCAGAAATAATACTTTTCAACTAGTAGTTGCCATCGTTTGCGACGTATTGTAAAACCGGCCTAAGTGTATCATGAAAACTAGAGCTATATGATTCAATTTTTATTAACATATCATTATTAGAACAAAATTAAAAGAATTGACTATTTTAACGCAGGATTCATCATTGACCAGTTTATGTTATATGAGAATCTATTCCGTTACTTAAGATAATTATTACTTATTATGATTATTATGATAATAGATAACAATTATTTTATTAATTATGAAAACGCTTCTTACGATTTACTACAATGGTAGTGTATCATTTAAGCGCAAAGAACAGGCATTATTGAAATATGAGGTCTGTCTTTAGTATAGCTGCACTATGTTGTATTTTTCGTACTACAAAAAATAAATATAATCAGAGAGATATTTAGGGGTCCACATTATCGAGCCGAACCGCGAGCCGAACTTCGTCGCGAGTCGATCATGCGTCCATATTGTCGAGCCGACGCGACGGGCTCGCGCGAGGTTCGCGAACCTCGAATCGAACATCAGTGCGAACCATCGCGTGTCCCCACAAATCTGCAAGTATTTTGATGATACGCGGTTCGGCTCACAGTGTTCCACCAAAAGTCGGTATTTCGACGAAAGCATCAAAAGATGCTTTTTATAATCAGATTATACGCTTTGTCGGGTGACTTAGACTGGTAGTTAAGCTTCGAGCTAGACAAATAATGACAAAAGACAAAAAATGAACGATGAAAGAAAACGTGAGTAATTGCCCAGTCGCTGTATTTGATTCTATCCATGCATGTGCAGTCTACACGACTACTGATAAACAAAATGGAATGGTCTGATAAAAAATGTTTAAAATTAATTAGTGATTATGAGCAGAAAAGATTATTATATACGGGACGCTAAAAATCCCGAACATTATAACAATTAAAAGAAATGCATATTTATATTTACAATTGTATTTTTAACGTTGCAATATATATTATAAATTTATTGCGTATTTATCATAGATTTAGAGTATGTTTATGCAATATTCATTAAATATAGTTGGTAACACTCTTAAATATTGTTTGAAAAGGAATTAAGCTTTAAATACAAGAAAATAATAAAAGCACGCATATGTATAGGTACACATATTTAGTCGTCTTTTCCTGTTCTCATACTTTTTTTATAAGAAGAAATAAGTAAAGAACTCGAATGTGAGTGACATGTGCAAAAAAAAGGTGACGACATTATTGGCATCTCTACAAAGAGAAAAAGCAAAAATAAAAAAGTATGGAAACAGGAAAAGATGAGTGAAATGTGTATATGTGCTTTTATTATTTTCCTGTATTCAAAACTTAAGGCTGATCTACAATGTGCTCTTTGCTTTCTGTTTTTTGCTCTTAACCTCTTTGCGACTATCTCGTATTTCGCAATTCCGTCGCGTAACGTGATGTTTCTTGTCTCTTCTGAAGTTCGTCAATTTTTATCTTGGGCGACAGAGAACAAAAAACATCGCGTTACGCGACGCAATTGCGAAATACGGGATAGTCGCAAACAGGTTAAGAGCAAAAAACGGGAAGCAAAGAGCACATTGTAGATCAGGCTTTAATTCCTTTTCAAACCATAAAACAAAATTTAGAATTAATATTGCATAAACATACTCTAAACCTGTGATAAATACGCAATAAATTTATAATATATATATTGCAATGTTAAAAAGTACGATTGTAAATATAAATATGCATTTTGCATACATGTATTAAGAATTTATATAAATTTTATTATAAATTTCGATACGAGATTTGACTTCAAAAAATTTTAACTCGTATTCGCGGTTTGCGATGGAGTTCAATTTGAGGTTCGTTTGTAAGTTCTGTTCGAGATTCGGTTCGGGGGCCGGCTCGCAGTTCGGTTCGATAATGTGGATTATGTGGACCCGGTTTTAGAGAGAGAAAGAAGAGAACACTTCAGACGCACAAATTAACGGACTATTCGTTTTCCCTCTTTTTTTCTAACATCTAGTTATATCTTAAACGCGGGATATGACTTAAGTGCAACTACAAAAAACCAATTTACAATAAAAGAATGCAAGAAAGGAAGCAAATTGCAAGGAATGTGAAGGAATTCATCTTTCCAACAATTCAATCCTGAAGATCTCATCAAAATGCCATGTATGCCCTGGGTTCCATAGAGCGTATATGCGCGCATTTATCTATAGCATACGTAACGTTTGCTGTAGCAAATGCGGGTATATGCGCTTTCGGAATCCAGAGATGGAAACCACTTTTTATTTACAGAAGACTAGTGATCGACCTAGATCCTCGAGACGTGAATTTGCCCAAAATCGGAACACATGCATCTCCGACATTTCAATAAGCGCCTAAATTTACAGGCTTGTTCCTGTCAGTTAACCTTTGCAAAGATACTTTTCATCCTTTCTCTTTCCGACTTCCAAATGTACATACGTACATACATACATTAGTTTCATGTTCAGCGAAAAGGCAGTGCGTCATTAAACATTGAACGCGACGCGTGCAGGATACAGAGGATCCCGCCTAAAAAAAATGTGGCTGGCCTTATTTTCTTTCCTCGTCTCAGTTCGATCCCTTGAATCTCGGTCGAGTCAAATCTATTTTTTCTTTCTTTCGCGCTATTTGCACATGACTGTAACGTTTCAATGAGATATCAAGAACGAATAGAAGGAAAGAAAATGAAAAGGCCGCGCATCGCAACGCGGTGAGACAGAGGGAGAGGCAAGTTGATGAAATGGCGGTCGAAGTCGAGTCCACTCTGAAGAAAGTACTGCCAACCGTCGCCTATCACGAGAAGTTAGCGATCCCGATCGCTCGCGTCACCCGTGACGCCGATCGTTCAACTTATTGATCCCATGGGCTTCCACGGTCCCGAAGGGTATATGGGAGTACGCGGGTAACGCCACGCGATCACGTCGGTCGCCCCGTAGAAAGAGAGAAGGGAATAAGAGAATTTAGAGAATGATATTACCGTTCCAGCCGCCGACGTCTCCGTGGTAGCGTGGTAACCAACAGACGTATCCATCGATAATCGGGGAGCGGAGAGCGGGGAAAAATGTAGAAACGAAGAAACTGAAATCAACGGTTAAACCAATGTACGTATATCCCTTCAATGCGCGATCACTCGAGCTCACTAAATCCGTACTACGGTACTCCGTAATTCACCGTTTACGTTAAAAACTACTGCCCGTACGTACGTACATACACGAGTCACGACGCCGCTGCTCTGCGTATTGCTGCGTATCGTATGCGTGTAGTGCGTGTACCTCTCGCGTTCGTTATGCGGAACAGTGTTGCCAATCGTGCGATGACTACAAATGCATAGCATAAGCATAAACGTAGCATAAAGGCCATCGCACACAAAATTGCATAGGCTGCATATGCATAGCATAAGACCGCTGGACCAATGAGCATCGTATGTAAATTAATATGGCGACTTTTTGCTAGATGCTCATTGGTTTAGCGATCTTATGCTACGCTTATGCTAAGCTATGCATTTTGTGTTGTACGATAGCCTTAAGGGCCCAGACACACACTTCTGCACAACGCATAATGCGTAAGCATAAGAAAATTGATTGGTCCATACACATGTGCATAAGAAAATAGACCAATCAATTTTCTTATGCTTACGCATTATGCGTTGGGCAAAAGTGTGTGCTCCCCGCTTGGAAATAGACCAATCAATTTTCTTATGCTACGCATTATGCGTTGTGCAGAAGTGTGTGCTCCCCGCTTAAAGATCAATCCAGACAAACTTGCATAGCGCATAAACATAAGCATAAGAGAATTGATTGATCCATATGCATGTGCATAAGGAAATAGACCAATCCGTTTCTTTATGCACCTATGCAAGTTTGTCTGGATAGACCTTAAAGCGGGGAGCACACACTTCTGCACAACGCATAATGCGTAAGGATAAGAAAATTGATTGGTCTATTTTCTTATGCACATGTGTATGGACCAATCAATTTTCTTATGCTTACGCATTATGCTCGTATCACACTAGCAATTGGCGATTGCATTTACGTTTGCGTCTACGTCTTTTGACCAATCAGAACGGAAATCGCGAATCGCAATCGCCAGCAGCTATTTTTTGATTGGTCTAGAGACGTAAATGCAAACATAGATGCAATCGCCAATCGCTAGTGTGATACGGGCATTATGCGTTATGCAGAAGTGTGTGCTCCCTGCTTAAAGCAGGGAGCACACACTTCTGCACAACGCGTAAAGGTGGAAGCACATAAAATTGCAGGAGCCATGAGCAAAACGCAGAAGCCATATGCGCATGCGCTATGGTATCTGCCTGTATTCTGCCCATGGCTGTGGCTTCTGAATTTTCAATCTACATAAACTATGCTTATGTATTTTTATGTAGATTGAAAATTCAGAAGCCATGGGCAGAATGCAGATACCATAGCGCATGCGCATATGAGTTCTGCATTTTGCTCATGGCTCTTGCAATTTTATGTGCTTCCACCTTAAAGGTGAAATTTCATGGGCAGTGAAAAGTAGCAGCAGATTGTACTGATTGGCTATAAAATAGAGAAGTTCTCGAGTTCCTAGAACTTCTCTATTTTGTAGCCAATCAGTACGATCTGCTGCTACTTTTCATTCAAAGACAGATATAAGGAAAACAAATTTAGAAAGGTTGACACCTAGTTTACATCGATCACTTGATACGCGTATTAAATAGTAAATAACTAGTAAATAAGTCTGATTATTGGCTGATCAGTTCAAATATACTATTTGATACGCGTATCAAGAGATCGGTGTAAACTAGGCCATTATCGACATCGAGGAAGTTCGCTTGTCACTGCAAGATTTCCTTAAGGAGGTTCGATGACTACAACAAAATGCAGAGAGTTTCATAAAATTTTAATATGTTGTTCTGGAATGCAAAATAGAATTATGTTAATTTATTAGGAATTTTTCACCGTCCCGTTTTGAAAAAAATCTACTCCAAAAATTTAAAAAGTACAATTTTTGGATTAGATTTTTTTCAAAACGGGACGGTGAAAAATTCCCCAAAAATTCACATAATTATATTTTGCATTCCAGAACAACATATTAAAATTTTATGAAACTGGCTGCATTTTTAACATAGGTTTTTATGGGAAATAACATATTGCATATACCTTCGGAATGAAATAAGTGCAAGAAAAAATGCAAATGATAAAGAAAAAAAAATTTGCACATGTAACTTAATAATTTACAAATAAATGAGCGAAAGAAAGGGGAAGGTTACCGCACATTTCGTAGAAAAATTAATTATTAAAGCATAAATTGCTTGATTTTTCGTCTGCTAAACTGTCATGGTCGTGAACGACGTGAACAGCAGCACGCATTATACACGCGGCGACCAATCAGAGCAATCCCCTTCATTCCCACTACTTCAAACGCTAGTGCGCTGTTTCCAGAACCCCCGCGTCCCACTACTCCCTCCGATGAAGCCATCGAACCTCCTTAAGGCCTTCACACATAAAATTCCGTAAGGACGTAAAACGTAAGCGTAAGAAAATCGATCAATCTCAATCGAGTATTTTCCCCTACTGGGGTTACGGACAGCACAATACTTGATTGGGATTGGTCGATTTTCTTACGCTTACGTTTTACGTCCTTACGCGATTTTATGTGTGAAGGCCTTAACGGGCAAGCGGACGGGTATCTGGATACCCGGTTATCTGGTTCTTTTTCCGAGCTCTAATATTTATTCAACAGTCAAAATAAACCGCCATCAAAAACGTCATATCCGGTTTGATGCCACGACGATTATTATGTCTTGTGTCTTGTTTCTCTTCGTATATTCAATGTTTGGTCCGTGAAGCGAATGGCAGATGGCAGGTGCATGTCGTGAGATTGATACGTGTTCGTTTTTCGGGAAAAATGAAGAGATCGCCGTTGAACAATGCTACGCACAGTGGCCGGCCGTATGGCGCGAAGCACACGCCGTACAATTGGAAGTCGCATGAGAACGCGAACAGTAGAGGTTATCAGACCACGGAGAGTAACAGTTACCAGCGTTTCCCTGTAAGTGGTGCAGAGTCGCAGCCTTGCGACGATAATTTCATCCCTCTGAACGTCAGCACGCCGATGACGCGGCACGAAAAGTATAATGCTGCTAGTCAGTATAGCCCTGCCGGTGAATGCAGCAGTCCAGGTAGTGGATGGTATAACAATTATAGGGGTAACTATCACGCCACGCCAAGATCGAACTGTAATAACCAGTACCCTGCCTACAAGCATTTCCCTAAGCAGTTCCACAGGCAAAAAAGAAAGGTAAGTGCTTGGCAGACTGAGAGATTGTGTCGAACAATGGAGATCCTTCTACATTGTGTGAGAGCATTTTAAGATCGGTATTATTAACAGTACAAGTTACTTGATCTTGTTTTACATCTTTTTAGAGTTACAGAGGAGCACATAGGCAAGTGAATGTATCGGTGTATGTAGACATAGATTCTTTTCTGGAAGATCCCTGGGAAGATCTAGTCAAAAATTTAAATGAGTCCAAAGATACGAGTAAAAGTGAAAGGCCTGAGAATGAATCCCCATTTAATTCAAAACTAGCCGATAGCGATTTGACAGAAAGATCTGGAAGCAAATTATCGAAGGAGACAAACTTGGATGATTTGCAGTGCAGTCAAGAATGTTCTGTAGACACGAGTTTTGAGATGCAGAATACAGATCTTAGTCAGATATCGAAAGTCAACAGCTTGGTAGAGTCAGAGGTAGGTGATGTCTGCTCCAGTCAAGATTTGCCAAATAAAAGCACATGCAGCAACAAGATTTGTGGAGTTGTGCAGGAGAAGAACGTTTATTTGAATGTATCCTTGATAGATACTGACCAGAAAGATATATAACAATAATGAAGAGCAAAGTGTGTTATAAAAGAAAATGCATTAAAATACATGAAAGTACATATGACTGTTGTACATATGGTCCTGTATTCTTGTATATAGATATTGTATATAAGTATAGCATCGTGGAATTAAATGTATTAAAAATTTTTACAAATATTCTTTTCTTGGAAGTATGTTAATAGTGTGATTATAGTATACGTGAGATACATTATCATCAGCTTGCAGATTATATTTCCATAATTTAGCTGTGAAAAATATGTAGAATTTATATTAATAATTATACAACGTGTGTAATTTTGTTGTACATATTAAGTCAGGTAAAAGGTAAACCTTAATTAATTAACACCAATTTCTCTTTAGCAAATTAAATTATTGTTTAGGAGGATCAAGTTATAAAACCGTACATGAAATTTGGAATCTTATACAAAAATGTGAAATTTGTTTATATTTTATATTTTCATTTTTAAGCTGAGTATACAAAAGCTACTTGAAATATTAATTTTGATATTCAAGCATACTTTGGATCAGTATCTTTTTAGAATACATATAGATATAGATATAGATATAGATATAGATATAGATTTATTTTATTTCAGCTATACAAAGCCATGAAATGGACTTGGTTTACAATATACCTTAAACACACTCATACCAACTTTTTTAACTTAACGCGTGACACTGTTAATTCCTTATTCCGTACTTTTTAATTTCCTCTAGAAAAACCATTCCTTAAACCCAACACGCCTAAACCTATTATTTGCACGTCAAACTCACAACCTAAACTCAGAAATACTTGACTTAGTCCACTTCGGCAGTATCAAGCCAAGAAACGGACATTATTCACCTATACACACACACATACCTTCTTACCGCTACGCGCAACAACTAATATTCTCTATATTTCTTTTATTTTTTTTATTTCTAAATTTTTTCCAAATCTTCTTTAGACTCATATCTCGCTTTGTTTCTAAAATAACCTTCCTTACATCCTAAAACTTATAAAACTTGAATTCTAAATCAATGCATATTCTCTATATACTTTATAATCAAAAACCTAATTCTCTCTTTTTCTTTATCCCTACCTTTACCTTAATATTACAACTATTTCCTGTTTTTTAACCACATCTTAATATATTAATAATTCTTTACCTTTACCTTCAAATATTAACGCAACTCTCTCATCTTACAATACATATAATAAAATTGACTAATAACAAAACTCTTGCTACCTAACTAATGCTATCCTATGTCCCCAGCCCTTCCAAACTCATCACACCTCCCTATATGCCCTTACCTCCTCTTTTTTTCTTCCAATATATTATCTTCCTAATCTTCCTGATCTTTTAAATTCATTTAACTCGAATAACTTCTGTGCTCCATTCCTCTTCCTTATTTGCCAAAATCCTCGACACTGAGAAATCCTCTCATTCGCTCCTAGTAAATTGCCTCCCAGTTCTTCTTCTCTGGTTTCCACCGAAGCAACATATATTTCCTCCTCGCACGTTCGTTCTCTAGTTATCTTCCCATGCCTCCTATCTACCGTTGCATAATTAATATATCTGGATTCGCCTCCGTGCCATCTAAAGATTCTAATATTTCCAGAAAACTGCTGCGTTTTTTTAAACTGTAACATTCATATCCTCCTATTTTTTCTCCTTCCGCATTTCCTTCTTCTTCTTCCTTTCCTTATCTCACCAAGCCTTGCGTGTCCTCTTACCTCTTTTTCCTATTTCCACCTTCTTTTACTTTTCTTTCTTACAACGCAGACAAGTTTCGCCAATCCTTGTTCCAGGAATACGCCAATAGCTTTTCTATACCTTTCTTCTTTTCATCTCATCTCTTCTTCATCGTTGGCTTAATCTTTCCTCAGCTATGCTTATCTTCTTTTACTTTCCATTTCCTAGAACACCTCTAGGCTCGCCCATCCTTGTGTCCTTTATTTCACCTTTCTTCTTTCCATCTCCATTGACCCGGAACTCTAGAGATTTTCGATTGCTTTTTCTTCTTCCTTCTTCGATAATCCTCTTCACATTTAATCCTCCCTTGTTTCGTATAGCCTCTTCTATAACAGCGCTTCTTTCACCTACCTCTTGTCCTCTCCTCTGTTTTCTATCCTTTACCTCTTTTTCCTCTTCTTATTCTTGATCCTATATTTCCTAGTCTAAAATTTGTCCCAATCTAAGATTTACATGTGTTCTGAGTTAAACCTGTCATCTTTTCAACTATCTTCTTAACCTATACTTAATTTACGGCCGAAGGCGGAGTTGCGTGATGGCCGCCGCGCCGTAGCGAACACATGCGTTTTAACCTAGCTAGAGACCGCGAAAGTTTAATTAATTTCGGGGGGTTTTTTAGCGGATACGGATAGTAGATTAGGGGTTTTCGAGGGGCTTATACGACTCTTAGGATAGCCAAGTCAAAGGGGGAAAAGAAAATTTCCCCCCGTGAAGGGGGGAATAAAGTCAAGCACAAATTCGGGAGAATTGACGATATACGAAAAGCGAGGGAACGACTTTCGATAAGTGATACAAAGAAATCAGCAATGGATGTCGTAGCGAACGAGTTAGTTAGCGAGAGGAAAAGAGCCGCAGAAGACGGTTCAAACGAAAATAGAGAAGAGGATACACAGGGACTCTCACAGAAGGATGGAGAATGGCAGACGGTAGGACAAAAAAAGATGGCGAAGGATAAGCGCGCCAAAATTCTATAAGAAATGTCTACTATGAAGATGGACAACAGGGAAGAAAGGAACAGCCAATCAGGTAACGATGACGTCAGCACGGAAGATTCAACGCACGAATCAGGAAACACTACCACGGAAGATTGCAGGTATGCATCAGCGAATGAGATGGAGATAGATATGGAGGTGATGCAACACGCGAATACCACGTGTAACGTGTTGAATCGAATTCGGGTGTGAAAATTAAACAAAATACGGGTATGGAGGAAAATAGCAAAGCCATGGAGAGGACGGCACGAGAGGAATATATGAATCGTGCAGGCGTACTAGAAAGAATCAGTGAATTGGACGCGTCTGAACTGGCAAACCAGAAGCAGGTTAAATTCAAAGAAGGGACCAATATTACATATAGATTAGTACTTAAACTGAATAAAGATAGAGTACAGACAAAAAAAGGTAAGAATCGATTTAAAATTTGGAAAATAGCAACAAGGAAAAAATATTCCCAAAAGATATTATTATGTTATCACATACAACGGCTATATGTAAATTTAACAATTGTAATAATGCAAATATTTGTTTAGAAGGAATCAATAACCTTACAGAGGAGACAGGATTATCGGCAGAAATCGACCAAAGGGGATCGAAATTTGTCGGGGTGATCACCGACTGGGGAGATAGCATTTCAGATTTATGGGATTCAATGGATGACCACGATGATGTTCTAAAAATCGGAAGGATGTATAGGAAAAAGTGGGATAAAGAAAAGAAGATTCTGACGAAAGAGGATACAGGAAATCTAATAATCACATTTATGGGTGATAAAGTCCGGAAAAGTCTTGATCTATTTGGACGTAGAACAGCAATAAAAGTTAGACCGTTCATAGCATCGGTCAAACAATGTTTTAAGTGTTTTAGATTCGGCCACATAAAAGCTCTGTGCAAGAGTGAAGAGAGATGCATAATATGTGGAGATCTGGCACATGGAAACTGCACGAGAGATACAAAATGCAGAAATTGCGGAGGCAACCACAGATCTACATGGAGAATGTGCAGAGAATACGAGAAAAAAAAAAATATAAATCTTGCAATGGGACTTAATAATGTATCTCGTAGGGAAGCAGAAAGAATACTGGCTGGGAAAGAACAAGACAAAGCACAAGAACAAACATATGATAGATATGAAACACCGGCTCAATGGCCAAAACTTTCTCAACCAAGAAAAGAGATGGAAGGAAGATGGGAAGAATCACAGACATCTAGAAAACTAATAACATATGAAGAAGATAGGGAGGATAGATACAGGAAGAAAACTAATACATATAAAGACAAGTTAGCGACACAGAAGAATAAACAAGAAAATTACTATAAACAATTCGACAACAGAAGAGAAGAAATTACAAAGGATAAAAGAGGAATAGCCCTAAAACAAGTGAAAAAACAACCAGGATGGGATAAAGAAACATCAGAGGAAGAATCGGACAATAATACTCCAGAGGAAGAAAGACAAGGCCAGAGGGAAGAAGAAGTAAATATTCCAGTAGGCCTGAACAGAGATCGAGATATCATTACAAGTCTAGCAGCGAAATTAATATATTATACTAATCAAGACTGGGAATTTAGAAGAATTATACAGGAAATGATCCAAGGATCAGAAAAAAAGGAAATAAGAAATCAGGGAGATAAATATAAGATCAAACAAGACATATTACAAAAGAAAAAAGAATTAGAACTAGAGGAAAAAATTAGAAAACAAAGAATGATAGTTAGCGATATGAAAAGAGATTTCAGAAGAGATCAAGAGCAACAGATAGCGCGTGTAAGAGTTCGATCGGACTCTTTACAGCGCTAACAAGATTTTGGTAAATTCAATCTAAAAATAGTTAATTGGAATTGCAGAGGATTTCATGGTAAGAAAAATGAGATAATAAAAAGAGCACAAGAATATGATATAATTATATTTACAGAAACAAAGTGTAATAAAAATAACATTTATATACCAGGATTTAAATCGTACTGTAAATTAAGTAGAGGTAATAGTGGAGGAGTTGCAATTAGTATTAAAGAAAATATAGAATTTGAAATCATAAATGGTTGGCAAAAAATAAATGATATTTTTGATATTATAGGTGTAAGACTTATCAATACAAAAGAAAAATTCAATATTGTTGCAATATATAGAGAAGACCGGGAGAAATAACAGATAAAATATGGAAAGACATATTCAAATTTAAAACTAAAAACTTAGAGAATATTATTGCAGGAGATTTTAATGCACACTATACATTATGGAATTGCTATGATATAGACAAACAAGGAGAATACTTATATGAAAACATGTATGATAATGAATATATATGTGTCAATCTAAATACATTAACAAGAGTGGGAGCAATAGGACAACATTCAAATAATTTAGATTTATTTTTTGCCACCTCAAGAATATGTGATGATATTGAATATGAACAAATTAATGACACTTGGGATTCAGACCATCATCCAGTAGAAATACGGTTAACAACAGAAATAGAAAGCTACATGAAGAAAACGAATAGATTTTCTACTAAAAAAACAAGATGGATAGAGTACAAATATAAAATGGAACAAATAATTAAGGACAACATAGAAGAATATAAAGAGACTTTATTGGGAAATAAGATCAACAAGGAAGAAAAATATTCAGCTTTTATCAAGGTAATTAAAACAACGATCGAAAACATCACGGAAGATGGAAGAAAAACAAGAGATCAGAATAAAAAAGAGGAACAGAATAAAAGAATGACGGGAGAAAAATTTAGAGGAAGAAAAGTTATATGGTGGGATATGGATTGTGATGAAGCAATAACAAGAAGACAAAGAGCGTTAAATAATTAAAAAAAAAAGAAGGATTTTCATTCAGTAGAATACAACAAGAGAAAAGCGGAGGCAAAGAAGATTATTAATACAAAAAAAAGAGAAAGTTTTGATAAATTCTGTGCATCAATTAACAGATTTACGAGTCAGACATATGTATAGAAAATAAGAATTTTTAAAAATGTTAAAAAGAAGATAAATTGGAACAGTTGGACGAACAAAAATAGAGAAAAAGAAATTAGAAAAGAAATTGATAAACTAGCACCACCAAGTGTTCAAGTAGAAATGTTGGACCAGGAAGGAGTATACAATACGAAAGACAGCTTAGAAGATAAGTTTACAAAAGAATAATTAAAAAGAGCACTACAAATGATTAAGAACAATTTGGCACCAGGAAGAGACGGAATAGAATATAGTATGCTGAAGGATTTAACTGAAGAGATGGAGGAGGTGATGCTAGAAATATGTAATGAAGTATGGACAACGGACTGGTTCCCGGAAGACTGGAGGAAATATCAGACGATGTTCATTGACAAAGCTGGAAAAGAAAAAGTCAGGCCAATTGCACTGTCATCCTGTGTAGGAAAAGTTATGGAAAGGATGGTGAACGAGCGAATGGTCTGGTGGGCGGAACGAATTAACAAGCTAGCGAGAGACCAGAATGGATTTAGGAGAGGCAGGTCATGCGCAGAAAATTTGGTCAGGTTAACAACAGATATAAGGAACGGTATTTATACAAATCAATATGTTTTGGCAGCCTTCTTAGATGTTTCCTCAGCATACGATAATGTAATATATAGTATATTAATGACAATTTTAAAGAAACTTAAATGTCCGGTAAATATTAGAAAGTATATAGGTAAATGGCTATATTATAGAGACACGGAATTTATTATTAATGGTCAGGAATCAGAATATAGAAGAGTATATAAAGGATTACCTCAGGGAGCTGTACTTAGTCCATTATTGTATGCGCTTTACACATATAATGTAACTAACAAAGAACAGATAGAATACGAATCAGTGCAATTTGCAGATGATATAGCAGCATATGACAAAGGTCATAATAGGGATAATAATAAACGAATATTGGAAAAGGCTGTGAATAGTATTAGCGAACAACTTACAGAGTTAGGACTTCAATTAGAACCAAAGAAAACAGTATTAGTACAATTTTCGAGACACGGTGGATGTGATAATACTTATATAAAATTAAAAAATACGAGAATATATGCACAATCAGAAACAAAGTTTTTAGGAATATGGTTAGATACTAAGTTAGAATTTATAAAACAGGTACAAGAAGTAAAAGGTAAAGTTAGTAAAGCAAATTCGTTAATGGTATACTTGAATAAGAAATCGAAAGGTATGGAAGTTAACACAGCATTAGTGTTATATAAAAGTTTGATTAGATCAATTACAGATTATGGGAATTTTGTATATTTCCCGAAAAAAGAAAATCAGAAATTAAAAATGGAAAGAACTCAAAATTTAGGAATTTGAACAGCGCTAGGGTATAGAAATAGTACTCCAAATAATGTGATAATAGCGGAAGCAAAAGTAACCTTACTCAGGGATAGAGCAGAATTATTAGCTAGGAATTTTTTAAGTAAGATTAGTATTTACGGAGAGGAGGATTTATGTACAAAGATAGAAGAGTTAGTTCAAAACAAAGACTATGCTAGATATAGACAACCATTACACCAAAGAAGTATAATAGGAGAAGCATAGAGAAGAATAAAATGGTGTAGAAAGAAAATGGGGCAAGAAGAAAATTTGAAATATTTGATATGGAATATGATATGGTTACGCAACAAATAAATATAGATTTAAGTATAGAATATTATCGGAAGAAAAAAGGAGTGACGGATGCTCAATTATTGGAGAAAATTAAAACAACTCATGGCATGGACGAAGGATTTACGGTAATCTATACAGATGGATTCAAGAAAAGAAGGGGCAAATCATTAGGCGCTAGTGTGGTAATAGAAGAACAAGAAGTGGCATATAATATTAGCATATCGAAGAATTGTTCTACTTTCACCGCAGAAGCCATAGCAATAAAAGCAGTTTTAGAAATTATGGAGAATAAAGCGGACAGCAGACCAAGGGATATAGCAGTTTTAACAGATGCCAGAGCAGTATTACAAGCAATACGTAATAACCATTTAAGTGTATACAAAAACAGGTATATCAATGAAATAAGAGAAAGACACTTTAGACTCTGCAAAGAAAAAAAGAAGAAGATAGTCTACGTGTGGATTCCATCACACGTAGGGATAAGTGGCAATGAGATGGCGGACAAATTGGCAAAGGAGGCGGCAGAAGAGGAAGCAGATGACCATATAGAAGTATCATTTCTAGATTTCCGACAGAAATTCAGAAAGGAAATTTGGAATAAAACACAAGATTTCTTAGTTAAAGATGCCAGATTTAAAGGAATCTATTATTTTAAAAACTTCTACAACAGAAAAAAGAAGAAGCCATGGTTCCATGGAAAGAATGAAGAAAAATACTTTATAACGTTGATTAACCGACTGAGGAGTAATCACTACAACGTCAACGAGTCACTAGCAAGAAAGGGGTACATAGATGACGCCAGATGCGAATGTGGCAACCAGAGAGAAACCTGAGAGCGGCCATCCGGCTTCGGGGGACGTCTGTCCTAATCTGCCTTCTGAGAAAGTGGACGTCAACTACGGCGTTACGCTCGGTAACGATCAGAGAGGACTCGGGTAACGATACATGGGTTCGTATCCATGCTATGGTTCGTGTCCGAACTACTCAGAAGGAGGGGATATATGCTGGTCGCGCAAGCCTTTCCTCTGTCCGTGTACGCTAGGCCCTCGGCAAGCTTCGAGCGGGGAGAGAAGGGCAGACATACGATCTGCTATCTCTCTTGAGCTGTGACGTTGCCGCTTTGCACGGGCCGGCTTGCCGGCTATACCACGATGCCACGCATTTCGGGTATCGCGTCTCGTGTCTCGCCGAGTGCCGAGTCTCGAGTTGACAAATCGACGATACGCTATACCCGCTATATACGTTACATTTGCTTGTATACAAATTTTAATTTTTATATTTATAATTAAATAAATAAATATATATATATGTATATATATTTAAAATTTATAAATATATAAAGATTGCAAATATAATTAATTAAATAAATATTTGTAAACATAAAAACTAAAATTCGTAAATGTAATGTATAGAAATCACCGTTCTATGCTTTTCTATCTAAAAAAGTCTTACATTCAAAACCTTTACTTTGCATAATAAATTTTAAATATAATATTTAAATGCATACCAATAATTATATTATTAACTATATTGAGAAAAAATGGTAGTTTATAATGTTTCTTGCACTCTTATTAAATTTATTTTACCTATGCATGTTCAAGCGGCCAAATTACGAGCAACAACAGAAGGAAATTGGATAAAAATAAAAACACTTTCTTAAATAAACAATACACATGGGTAACAGTGAGTTCTATTATAATTCTCGTATAGCTCTGAACGTGTTTTAACGTTTATTTCTAAAGAGTTCTGACGATAAGC